TATATATATCTTAACAATACATTGGTCTCCAAAATGAATCGACGTTGTTTATTGATAATCATTGTAACATCACCGTCGCTAGATAGGTTAGTGTTGAATTAACTATCAACAATAACAGACACGCGGACACAGTTTCGTTAAATAAACAACAAACTTTCAACGTTCATTTCAACGCAATGTGAACGCAACGCAATTTAACGCGAACGCAACACAACGGCAACGGGTAAAATGCGTTGTGATTTTTGTGATAATTCTGGCCAATACTGTACGTGAACTTATCATGCCGATTCTGACCAATAATAACTTATTACCATTCAAATTATTCATCATTACCTTCAAATTCATGGCACAGCGATGGGCACTAAAATGGCTCCATCTTTTGCTAACTTATTTATGAGACAATTTGAGGCCAATTTCCTGTCCCTACAGCCCAAGAAACCAGATGTTTAGTTTCGTTACATTGATGATATCTTCATGATCTGGACCCATGGTGAAGATAGTTTGGATACGTTCCTATTGAACATTAATTCGGCTCATCCCATCAACCATGGAAAATGGTGCACTCAAAACTGATCTCTTCCGTAAATCCACGGATAAGCATATGTACCTGCTCCCTAGCAGCTGTCATCCCCAGCACTACAAAAAACATTCCGAACAGCCAAGCATTGCGCATGAGACGCATTTGTTCGGATTTAGATTTTCAGAATCGCACAGAAGAGCTATCCAGACATCTCCGGAATAGAAATTATCATCGAGGACCCATCGAAAATGCTGTAAAAAAAGCAAAGGACATACCTCGTGCTCAAACACTGACGTACAAACCATGTCAGCGATCGACCAGAGTACCACTGGTCACTACCTATCACCCTAGGTTACCACCACTAAGGCAGGGCTCGAAATTCACGCTAGCAAACTAGCAATTTGCTAGTAGGTTTGTCATAATTGCTAGATGAAAATTCACAAACCAGCAAATTAAAAAAAATGATTGCTAGTTGAAATATTTATACAAAATATCTTGTAATTAGCCTAGTATTAACTAAAACTAGACTAAACTGATCTACAAAAACTAATACAAATTTTATTAAATTTATTTATTTATTTTTTAATTATGAAAATCGACTAAAAATGCCTATAATCGACGAAAAACGATCGTTTTTTTTTTATCTTGAGCACAAGATGTGAAGTGCGCCACCAACATTAATTTTTTTAAACCTTCATTGCTTGCATGCATGCAACAAGCTAAGTAAGCAGTGTGCAGAAAAAAAAATCGCTCACATGGGTTTGTTGACGGAAGTCACGGGCGATGCAATCGGTAGTTAAGGCAAACATATTTAATTTGGTTCTTTTTAGATAATAAACAATGTTTCAGATATGATAATAATAATTTTCTATGAAGCTTAGACAAATAATAGGTTACAACCTAGGCTTCAATTGGCAGATGTATTAGGCCTAGCCTACTAGACCCTAGCCTAGCTAGTCTGGCTAGGCCTAGTACTGTAGTAAGTAGACCTCCTAACCTAGGCCTAGGCTAGGCCTACTATTGCACCAGCGGCCGCCTACAAAACGTCTAGTCCCAGCTTTAAAAGACCAAGGCCTATCAAAATAAATATTGTACAAACAAATATTTTATGTAAAATTGAGTTTCTGTTATGGCCTTTTTCTGTCAAAGATTTGGCTTGCTACCAATGCAGTTTTTGAAATCTCTAGGCCTAGCCCCTAGCTAAGCCTGCCTAGGCTAGCTAGGCCAAGGCCAGTCT